CTACCTTGGAAAGCACTAACCCATTAATCCATTTATACTAAAAACAATACTACTACATTTTGAATCCAAATATAAGATTATTACACTTGGTTAGATCTGCAGTTTTTGCAGTGCAGCAAATGAACCCACTAGTGATGCCAACATTTACCACACTGCTGAGGATTTGATATACATGACAGCTTAATGTCAATGTTTTAACATGAAGGAATGTGACAGGCTCGTAACAGCATGATGCATAAGGATGAGGTGGCAGCATGAAGAGTGAGGTGCAGGGCTTAACCCACATTTTTACACTGACATAACGACATACAACAGTAGGTGGTCATTCATTTTTATATAAAAAAAGGTTTAAAAAAAAGAAGAGGTAAAATCTACCTCTTTTAAAAACAGCATTAGATTCTATCTGTGGTCATTTGCTTTGTAATGATGACCAGCTAAGCATTATAGTTTACCTTACTCTTCCATTAGGGAACGTTGTCAGGTAATGGCCAAGCTAAAACATTCTTTTATTATTGATGAGAAGCAGCAGGAGAAGGCAGCAGTGACTTTATTCCCTGCCTTCACTTTAGCATTGTTGCATCATAGGAGCTTGCAGACAGTAGCTTAGCTAACTCTGTAAGAGATATTCTCTACATAAAAGAACACCACAGTGGTCTCCTCAGCATGCCAATGGCCCTGTTTGTAATCCATTTCAAAAGCTTTCCTGTTAGTCACTAAGAGAATGTTTATGCAAAGAGACAAGGGGGAAGGAAGTGGCTGGCCCTAACAAAAGATGCTCACTTGGATGAGAGAAGCACTGATCGATAGAGTCTTGAAAGAGCTATCAATCAGATCCCCGGCCTAGTAAATTATGGTTTTATTAGTATTGAGCTGACCACTGCTGGGAGAGACCTTAAAACATTGGGACGCTCACATCAGAGGCTAGAGAAAGGGCGGGAAATCTCTGTCGACCCCACCCCCAACTTAATATGGACTGATTGAAGTCCAGTTAGATAATGACATGTCAGGACTAAAGCTCCCCGGTTGTCATAGCAAATAGCAGTGATTCATGGAAAAAGGATAGAATGCGGGTACAGAGCGGTGCACTCTGGGAATTGCAGTTTGCAATGAAGCCGTGACTAAATTGAGGAAAGTAGATCGCAGAGCAGCAGAAATGCAATTCCAGCGCTGCTGGGCCCTCATTCCCAGCCGGCTCTCTGAGGACTAACTCATTTAGGAGTGGCAGGGGAAACTCAATAGGACCAATTGAGAAAATAATATATTGAATCTGGTGGTTGAGTGGGCTGCTTGGACACGCTAGAGGACTGCAGAGGCGAAGTATGTGCTTTAGCATCTGAAAACCCAAGTGTTCTTAAACAACATACATGTTTTTATGAATACATATTAACACACACATTCCTTTCACTTCACAGTATAGTACATGTGATGTTCACTTGTTAGCTGTAAATAATACTATTGCACTGTGTTGGAACTTGGCTGATTTGAACAGAGCACTGTCAGGTTGCAAACCGAAATACAGATCCCTACTAAGAGTATTTGGCTGATATAAGTGAGGTAGGAGGTAGGTAGGATTGAAAAAAGTGTCAGTGGCACTGCTATGTTGAAAACCGAAGTAAAACTGATACTGTAAAAACCTTGTTGACTAGAATAGCTCAGGAATTATTGGATGGATTGCCGTGAAAGTATCAACAGATGTTTGATGCCCAGAGGATGAAGCCTACTTTGGTGACTGCCTGACATAGGCTATCCTCTAGAGCCATTAGTAGGTCAAAATTTTCACTTTTCTAGTAAAATATCTCAACATCTACATGATGGATTGGCAGAAAACATTTGTGGTTCCCAGACGAACTATTGGATAGATTGCCATGAAATTTGGCACACACATTCCCCTGAGGAGGAACTATAATAACATTTCATCTAGTCATTATCTTTAATAATAACAACCCTCTTGCCCTCAGTTTACATTAAATTAAGATTAGTGCTAATTGGTAAATAAATTTTAGCTTGCTAACACACTAAAGTAAGATGGTGAACATGGTAAACATTATACCTGCTAAGAAGTGGCATTTGACCCTTGTTAATGTTAGCATGTATCTCAAAGCACTAGTGGGCGCACATACAGATTAATGCAATGGAGAGCAGCCCATCGCTGTCCCAGCTTTTGAGCCCGTATAAACGTCTTGTTTGCACATGGTTTGTTGTACTGTAGGAGTTGGAGTTGATGGTTACCCTATGGTAGTGTGATGTGTAGGCCTATTGTAGATCCTCATAACTTATTGTATCGGAGAAACAACAGTGGTGGAACAATTTAACTGGACCAGGACCCTGCTGTTGAGCTGATTTCCCGTCTCTGTGATGTTTTCATGAAACTGACGTTTTGCTATTAACTCCAAAAGGACACGGGCACCCTCTGTGGGAAGCAATGGCATTAGATGAGGATCTAGGTGGATGCGAGAAGCTAATGAAAGTGGGGTATCTACCCAGCAGAGAGGTGAGTTGTGCCCAGGGCAGGATGCAGCAGCTTAAGGACTGTAATTACAGCATTATGGTGGAGGTTGACTGGATTAGGGCCACGGCAACAGGCTGAGACCAGGATAGAAGACCAGGAAATGGCCATGGACTAGACATTATTAGCCAGCTTAAGACCAGCCCTGTCAACACACGGCTTCTTCTCCCTCACTGAGTACTCAAGGTCAGGCAGATGCTGATGCACAGGCAAAAGCATATTTGTGCATGAGTCTGCATTTACCACAAATGGATATAAACACACATCCATGCACGTGAATAAAAGTATACACATGCACATACATGCATACACACACTTTCTCTCTCTCACTCTACATTCACACATAGACAGAAAGCAGCATTGCCTTGACCACACAAACAGACAGGCATGCTTAGTGAATCCAGTGGGAGCTGGGCAGCGTATTATCTTGACTGGGCTCAGTGTTAAGTCACAGTGCTCTGCCCTCTCCCTCAGTCAACAGGATAATCCACTCTGAAAATAACTAGATTAAGACAGATTAAACACATGATGAGGTGCTAAGAAAGCACTAAAATCTAAAGAAAGACACTGAAAAACTTAAAGGAGCACATTTACTTTTGGACAAACAAGCTCCTTGGTCAGCTTGCTATCATTATTGTTGGGTTTAAACACTGAAAAAAAATTTCATTTTCAGTTTACTTGAATTTTTTGTTTTTTTGTTTTTTCTGTTGTTGGAACTTTTCTTTTCTTTTTCTTTCTTTCTGTCTTTTGAAGCAATTGTGGTGATTGGTGCTAACTATCCAGATTTTCTTCTACTCATTTCATTACTTTTTTAACCTGAAAATAAGCTCTCAGAGATAGACAGAGACAGTGATATAGCTGTCTTTCTGAGATATTTTCCTCTTGACACATTCTATACATAGTTTTTTTTAATATCATTTGGTTCTCAGCTGCTCGCTCTCTGTCCCACACAATTTCCTGCATCCTACCTAAAACCCTCCATCTTACTTCTTTTCAGTTCATGACAAGTCTACTGCAGACCTGTAACAGATTAAAAAGTGCATAGATGGGTTGAGTAAAAGAGAGAGGCGAATAAAATAAATCTTCATTTGACAATTTGAACCTCATTGAGTCTGAATCATCTAGGGACTTGGTCTTTATTATAAGGCTGGCAGTGAAGTCTGATTGTAATTGTGTTGAACCAGCACCCATTTTCACACTCACACACACACACACACACACGCACGCACTGCCTCTTTTCCTCCTCGCCCCTTGCTCTTATCAACACACTGCCCCGATAAAGTCCTGCGCACTCTCAACCTCATTAAACCTCTCATTTATATTAAACAGCTGATAAGTCTCTCTACCCTGGTATGCATCTCCCAGGGCACGCTACTCCCATGAGGAGGTGACTTGGCAGCACCCACACTACGCTGAGGCCTTAGCTCCCACACCGCCACAATCCCTTTTCTTGTTATTCCTTCCATTTGTTTACCAAAAACTCCCCACCACCTCATCATCTTCTTCTCCTCCTCTTCCTGCTCTCCTGTCTTCCTGCTGTGGTTGGTGCCTGATCTTTTACTCCCGTTTCTCTTGGCTGAGAGCCAGCAGAATGTTGTAAGACATCAATATTAGGCAGGGCCTCCTGGTTTAAAGCATGCTTGAGGTACAGAGTTGAACTGTGCGAGACTATCTAGCTGTGAGGGAGCTATCTGTAATAGGTCCTGTACAGGGAGTTCAGTGCATTCCCCCAGCAGCCCACAGGCTGCTATGAAGCATTATGGGAAATAAGACCAAGGCCCAAGCTTTATTCTCAAACTCTCAGCACGTGGCTGTGAGATTTTTTTTTTTCTCTCTTCGTTCTGACTCCCACTTTTGATAGGCTTTTGTCTGTAGAGGGCTGAACACAGTATCCTGGCCCAGTGGTCCTAGACCCAAAGACTTAACTGCTAACTTTGTCCCCCTATCAAGACTGACATATGCACATGAGTGTACAGTGGGCTCAATAACCAGCAGTGCGGCACATCGACCACATGGCAAATGTCACTGGTCCATTTACTTTGGCTCATTGTTAGAGACAGCTGTCTATTGGCCTATGGGAAATCCATGGAGCTTTATCCAGCTCGGACTACTACAGGAGCCGTTTCACACTGCTGAGCCAGAAAATACCGACGTAAGCCGAGATGGACACTGAAGTCTATGTTCCATGTTTCTGGAGTATTGATGGCATCACATTAGGAGCCATACTACACATCCCCTATACTCCCAAGTCTTTTGTGTGTTCCAATAAAAAAAAATAAAAAATCTAACATGAAATTTTCGAAAATCTTGTTGCCTTCTCCTGTATCCCCCCGCTGTTGTGTTTTTGTCAACACACCATCACTAGTAATTACTAATTATTTCCAAGGTACAATACAGGATTAAAATGCAAAATTGCAGATTTTTCAATAATGACTCAAACATACAAATATGAAAATACTTGGCTAAATACTTGGCTCTTTCACGGTCTCTGTAGGAAGCCCCTGGCAGCCCTCCGATTTTAGAGCTTCCCGTGAACTCTCTACTGGACAACCATGAGCGCCGGATTTCCCACTCCCTCTATGAAACCATCGAAGGCCTGGACAACATCTCCACACCGTTGACTAATATGATTGGACGCATTGGTGAGTCATAATATTAGCAAGATTCATTCTCAACACCTTTGTGTCTCTTTCAACCTCTGCTAGACAAAATTACTCCACAAATTGGATTTTTTTTTGGCCGGTCACTCCCCATTCACATTGATGGGAAGTGTGGTTGACCTGCTAACCTCATGCTCATTGGATATATATTTCCCCTTGAATTGGTGCTGTCTGTAAACTTGAATTCCCAGATCAATTTTAACATCCACCTCAGCCCCTCTGAAGTGCTTCTGCTAGCTCTTTCCCTTAAACCCCCTACCAGCATCACCTTCAAAGCATCATCCCTGCTCTGCATCCCAAGATACGCTATTTCACTATTCAAACCTCTCAGGGATTAATGTCATCCCCAATCCTCCCTGCCTTCACTCAACTCCTGACTGGTTTCACTCAGGTCAATTCCCATTCTACCCAGTTGACATCAGCTAAGATCTCATCTCTTTAGAGGTATTAGAATTGGCAATTTAATACTCGACCAGTCGCTTCTGTCATCTCAGCATCGACGGACCTTTAACATATGCAGACACTCAGAAGCTGAAGGTGATTGCATCAGTGTAAGTAGGGCATGTTTGTAGGGGATGATGTTACATGTATCCACACCACTTGTCTCAACACACACAGGTTTTCATGCACTCAATTTCTCGTTTTACCTTCTCATCCCCATCCCATTATTTCATCTCTACCATAGCTTTGATACGCATCTCCTATTTCTCCCTCTTCTTCTCTCTTCTTCCAACCTATGTCCTCCAAACTTCTTTAACTATTTTTTTCTCCCCACTGATAAACCACCTCCTCATCGTCTCCTTGTCTCTTTCACCTCCCAGCCTATCACCCTTCCACTATTTGTAATCTGTCAATGATCTGCATTTTCTCCATTCCTGCCCTTCTCCCATTCATTCTCCCGTTTCTCTCCTATCCCCTCCCCACCATCTCCCCCAGAGCAGTGCCACTCTACCACTGATCACTGAAGATCAGAGGCTGTGTCAGAAGCATCTGATGGTTAATTAAGCCTCCAGATCAATAGGGCTTGGCCCTGACACTCTCTCTACCTCTGTCTCTCTCTCCTCACCCCTTCTCTTTTTCACTCTTTCATCTTGTCTTTCCCCTCTCTGTCAAATCAAGTGTTCTCAAATTGGTTGGGTTTTCCTCTCAGTTTGGCTTATTTATTCCACTGGCTTTTCCCTACACAGGCTTTTCAGAACGGTGCTGTGATCATAAGCGGCAACTGTGGGCGCACTGATGGAAAAGTTTCTTGCTATTGAAACTTCAAGGGCGCCCAGCACTCGTCTCATCCTACGGAGTGGGAGTCAAATGAGCCAAGTGGAAAAGTTTTAGGGGTGGGGGCGAAGTGAGTGCTTAAGCAGTAAGTTATCAGAGCCGAAGCTTGGCAGAGTCTCAGATCTTTGACTCGGCTTGTCTCACAGCAAGATGTGAGTTCCTTTTTTTCTGTCTCGAGGCTGTCTCTGAGTTGTGCCCTCATTAATCCGTGCCTACATTCTGTGACAGGTGTTCGTCTGTTTAAACTGACACAATTCTGTTATTTAGATTTCTGTTGCAGTAAGAGTTGATTTTATAATCATAAGGTAAAATGCAACAAGAAGTAGAAGCAGGGATTTGCTGCTTCCAAGCATTGTTCAAAATTTAGATTTTTGCAATTTTTGCAATTACTGCACATCTGATCTTCCTTTTTTCAGTTTAATGAAAAAGCAGAAGATGTTTTGTACCTATAATCCAATAAAGCACAGTAGATATATTTGTATAAGAAACTGAAGAAAGTACCCTCTCTCTGTCCTCCATCTTCTGCCCCCAAACAAGTGGTGATTATCTTGCATCTCACTGACAGAATGGTGCTAAGATCTAGTTAACCTTGATCAAATGTCACAAAACTGACTTTGAAAGCAAATACCACCACTAATTCTGCCTATTCATGTTCATCTAACATATTGTAAAATTTAACCAAAATATCAGTATCCTGCATTTACCAACTTTAGTTTTAAATAAAGCAATAAATAGACATGGATACTTTAATAGACTAAAACAGTGTTTTATACTCTCTCATCACTTATTAAGAAACTATAAAGTGTATTTTTCTGTGTGCCTGGGACATTTCTGCTAGACTAGAAAGACAGTAGCTGTTCTCTATCTTCTTCTATATGTTATTTCAGATGGGCTCAGACATGCTGCCTGGTGTGTGAGATGTGACAGTTGTGCTTCTAGGACAGATGCTGAGATCAGTTTGGCAAGGTCACAAAGCACACAGCCGCCAGGGCTTGACTGACAGCTAAAAGTGGAGTGTCTCTAGACCTGCTAAATTACTGAATCATGAAGGCCAGACTTCTAGTTTGGGATATGGTAGGGCACTCATACAGCACTACATCCACATAGTGTAGTTGCATGCACACACGCACAGTGGCATAGTTATGCACAACCTCTCTATCAGGTTATACTCAGTTTCCACTGACGTGGGCCTCCGAGCCATTAGCGATTGCTGACAAAACTCTGAGGTATTCTATGTTGTAAAAGACAGCGGAGGAACTCTCTGACCAAATCAGGTCCTCTCCGCTGCTGCGTAATACTGCCTGTGCTGCTAAGATGGCCAAGACACAGAGGTAAATGGGAGGAATTGTTTTTCTGCTCATAAATTTAGATCTGGCTTTGATTGTGAGTTATTGCAGGTGGCTGCAAGTCAATACAGTGAAATTGTAAACTCAAAATTTCTGCCAACCTGTGATTGTTATTGCTATGCTGTATATTTTCTGTTAAAAGCACATAGCTGCCATGTCCTATGGACCCCTTATCTCACCTCACCTCAGGTACTGATGAGAAACTGGTCTCGTCTTGTACCTTGCTTCCTTTCTTCTGAAACAATATGACTAGGTCTTGGTTCTCTGTGGGGAAAGGTACAACTGAATGAATTATAGGAATTATAATTACCATGGCAACAACAAAGCATAAAATGACATGGGAAACAGGTGGTATTGCACTGGTATAGGGCCATCTCATTGATTGTAAGGGCACTTTGTCTTTATCTTCCCTGTAGTGTTTGGGCTACCATTCAGAACTATCTGCTGTGTTTATGTGTGTGTGTGTGTGTGTGTGTGTGTGTATTAGTGGGTGCACACATTCACCTAATCAATAGTAAGAGGTAATCTCTTTCCCTGTTTGCCTCAGTAAGCCATGCAATGCTGTGATATTGTCAGCTTTAGCTTCACACACCATGCATCAAGCATTATGGCTGGAGGCTGAATCCACAGCTAGCAGGTGGTGAACATACAGTACGTTCTGCTTGACTCCCTGCTCAAATAAAATGAGTTCCTGACAGTTTTTCTGTTCTACTGCTTTCCTTCGATCCCCACCCTCCTTTTGCCTTTGTTGGTGAAAGGATCGAGAATCAGCAGAGATAATATCACACTTAAAGAAGGAAAAACTAAAAGAAAGAATAGAAGAAAATGTGAAATAAAGAAAAGAAAGTTGGAACTGAATGCAAGCTCCTGCATGTGCACAGTGTGACAGCGACAGCCAGAGTTTGACGGAAAGGTCGTTAGCATCACACCCGGCTTCACCTTCCGTTCTGTCTAATTGAAAAGTGCTGCTGGGTGCAGGGTCCACATGCTGGGGTGAAAATTGAGGCCCGTGGACTGACGCTTTCTGTGGATGTGACTGTTTGGCCCATTGCCTGAGTCAGAATGCACACCTAGGACTGGCACAGGAGTGAGGATGGGGTGGGCTTGGGTTGTGTGCGTGGGGTGCTGGGGTGGAGGTGGGAACCCGGCAAGCAGACTCATGCTGTTGTCACACAGGTAAATAGGTATTCACAGGATGTAATGTGTGCAGTGCAGGTGACAGTGCAAAATACTGCAGACACACATTAGTGACTGAAAGAAGTTCATAACACATGCACAAAAAAACTTTGGATGAGTTTCTTTCCATATAAAGACATTTATTTAGTAAAAGTATGAAAGTATAAAAGCACACACACACACAAACTAACATCTCTGGGTCCTTTCGTCTTCTGTAATAGTGTTTAAGTAGGACCGTCTTCCCAGGACTTGACCCTGCTGTCCCCTCACTTCCAGTATTTCATAGTCCGCAGACTGATCCTTTCTGTATGCTCAGCGTGCAGGAGATGAGGCAGGGTGACCTCCCTTAATTTGGTATGTCCAGACTGCTTCAGAGTGCTATTAGCATGCCTCAGTGAGAAAATTACATAGATGGTCTTACCCTAGAACTTTACCTTGTGCTTTACTGTACTTATTCACTGTGGTCTGACCAAAAATAGGTATACTTGCTATACACATTTTTTACATTCTGTTAAACACTTTTGAAGCACTAGTGTAAAGGTAGGTTCGCACTAGCCTGGTTTAGTCTGGTTAAAACTTGGTGCAGTTTGTTTGGGTTGGTGTGAATGCCAGACTCAATAACAGGAAGCATATCATTGGTTAAAAAAACATTTTCTCATCCTGTTTTTCCAAGTGATGGAAATGGAATATAAAAAGATACAAATTATAGAATCACTAAAGTATGGATAATATCAATCCATCAGCACCTTGCATCTTAAGGTATTGTTATTGAAGAAAAAGCTTTCTATTCAGAGCCACATTGTCCACCCACACAGGTTTTTTCCTTTGCCTAATCAGACCTCTTCCGAGGACTGAATGGGTGTGTAGTGACTGTGCTTGATTGGTATCTCTCTTACCTATTAGTTTTGTTGCCTCTGCAAGGTTGAGAGAACTTATCCTTAACCTCACATAATTCCAGTATAGCGTCTACCTGAGCAGAAGTCTAATTAACCAGAAATAAAAATGGACCAGTGACAGCAATATTTAAAATCAAAATCTTGTAATATTGTGATAGAATAGATCATAAAAGAAACTCATAGAACAAACAAGTGGGATTTGTTCAAATCTTTCCAGACCGCCATATTGCTATTGGGAAATAAAGTGCATTAGCTTTCATTTGTATAATTATATGCCCAAGTGTATATT